AATATAAAATATAAATTTAGGAAAAAATTCATTTTAATGATGATTTATATGTATTAGGATTTAGGCTCATCAATTGTTTATTAAATTCAATTTCTCGATTCATAAAAATATTTTATAAAAAATTTAATTGATATTTAAATTATTATTTTTTAATTACAAATACCTAGTTATTTTTATAGAATCATGTTTATATATTTTAAAGGATTACCAAATCATTATGTAAATGGTAATAAATTATAAAATATAAATTTAAGACAAAATTAATTTTATTATATTATATATATGAATTTTCCATAATACGTAAATTGTAAATTTATATTGATCCATACATTTTTCAGAATTTTATAGAAATATAAAGTTAAAAATATAAATAATTAAAGGTGAGAATATAAAGTATTTAAAAAAAAAATGCGTATTGATTCATATATTTTTCAAAAATTAATAGAAATATAATGTTAAAAATAAAAAAATATTAAATCGTGAATTTAACACAAAAGTAGTATATTTAATTTTTTAAAAATAATGCAGCTGTTAATTACTTATTGTGACAAAGTTTTTTTCGATAATATTAAAAAAATAAAAAATATTACAAATATATGTTTGAATAATACTAAAATTAAAAAAAAATTAAAGAAATTTAATATTATACGACAAATATTTCATCATAAATATTTATTTTATTATTTATAAATGTAGAACTGAATAAATATGGGTGTTTTCAGCTTTGTTGAATTATATTATGATTATAACTTCTCAAAATGTTGTCATTAAAACTAGTAATTTTAATACTTTTTGTGATTTTTTATACAAAAGTGGAATCTAATTTAACAAAAAAATCAAATCAGTTAGATAAGATATTAACATATTCAGGATGGAAAAATTTGAATGACGTGTATTTTATAAAATATCACAACAATATATATTATCTTCATAATTTGATTGAAAAATCTACAATTCACTATAGACGTTATCAAATAGTACGAGCCTTGTCTGTACACCTTGGATGTACATACGCAAAAGTTTTAAAAAGTCTCTCTATAGTGTTTGACAACATCAAAAAAATTTGTGAAAAAAGATTAAAAGAAAAAGACATAATAAATGGATGCATTTGCACCGAAGAACTGGTATATATAATATCAACATTATTTGTTCCAATGGTAACATTGATGAAAGGTGCCATGGACGCTTTAGATTTATTACATGACAGACCATTGGTTACTTCTGATAGAAATTTCTACAAAGTAAGTATTTTATTAGAGACAATAGAAGATATTCTTGACAAATTTCAAGAACGATATTTATCACGTAAAGATTTATTTACATATTTTTGGTCATTAAGTATGGTAGAATCTTTATTGAAAAAAAATGTAAGTTATGTAATCAATAAAGCTAATATCCATTGTGAATTTGTACCTTATGATACGAATTATAAATGGAATGAATGGCTTCAAGAATATAAAAACATTATTAGCCAAGGCGTAGAATTATCATTAATCAAATTCGTAACCAGAAAAGTAAAGTATTATATCAGAAGTGTAATTATAGAAAAGTATTTTCAATTGGGATTCAAATTTGATCCAATCACTGAAGAAATATTTGTAACAAAGTAGCCAACTATTTTTAACTTATAATTCAACTAGGTAATTAAAAATATTAATGAAAATGTATAAATTCGTTGTGTTATAATTTTTTTTATTATATAGGGGCGTGGCGTTGCGCGGTGGTGACACTGGTTGTTGTCAAAAATCTAGTGTTAAGTGGCGCCTACCGCCGTAGGTGAACGGATGGGTGACCATACGTGCGCTTTTACGGTGTCGAAAAAGCACCATGCTCCTAGTACAGAAAGAAACGGGAAACCACTGCACTTAAAATTCACCAGAATATATCCGTTTGCTATTAAACAACCTAACGGTTGAAAAAAAAAATTTTTTTTTTATGAATTTAGAATTGAAATTTAATGGTTCTAATGCCTATACAAATAGAAAATCATTAAATGTTATAATACAATTTTTTTATCCTACATTTATATATTATAATTAATCAAAATTTACACAGTAGTTTAGCAAATGTTTAACTATTTAAATATGGTTTTATTTTTAATTCCTATAAATAAATTATATAATTATGTTATAATATTAAATATGACATATGAAATAGAAAACTTAAATATTAGAGATTTTTTCAAACGATTCTAGATAACTTATTTTATAGAAATTCTTATTACATTTATAAAACAAAATATTAAATAGTTTGGCTTAAATTGAATTAATATTTTTAATATTTATGGATACAAGTTGATAGATTGCATAAAAATTTATAATTAAGACTGAGAATTTCATTAACGGGTAACATTTGAGTTTTGAAGTAGTTACATTTGTTTTAGTTCATAAAGCTACCACTGTGTTAAATGAAAAATATTATTATTTTAAAAATGAGACTAATGCAACTGTTAATTGCATATTGTAACAAAGTTTTTTTTAATAATATTAAAAAAATAAAATCATCACCGAACATATTAAGTACGTGTAGATATCAATCAACTATTATAGAAAAGTATTTTCAGTTAGGTTTTATGTTCAACCCAACAATTGAGGAAACTTATAATACCATCTGAACATATTGAAACAATAACAATGTTATTAACATTGTTTCATTTTTAAATAATAATATTTTTCATTTACACACAGTGGTAGCTTTATGAACTAAATACTTCCCAATCTGCCATGTTTCGCCATTGTGCCGCTACCTCAATATGTTATGTTTTTGTTTCGTTGCAAACCTGAAAAGGTATTCATTTTACTATTATGTGTTTTTTTTATATCGCTATTTTTGTTCAGCTCTCACCAAACCGATTTCTTTCAAGAATACGTCAAAATATCACAAATCGTATCTAGTCGAAGACATTACTCTCGAAAATTGAAAAAAATTCCCTCGATCCCCGTAAATGGGGGAAATCTCAAAAAAAATTACAATTTTAAAAATCGATAATTTTCGAAATTTTCGAAATTTTTTTTACTTAAAATTACCATAACTTTATCAAAAATGACCAAATCAATATAATTTTTTTTTGATGGAAGATATCTTTACCTATCATTTAGTAAATTTATTTTATAAATCTGACCCTTTACCTGCCCACAGGGGGATTCAAAATGACAACCTTTTCACCAAAAATTAACTTTTTCAATTTAACTTTTGAAAGTGTTCCGGAAACTATGACACTATTATATATACCTTAAATTAAAGTTAATGTAATACACTTTATTATGGAAAAAAAAAATTCGGACTTTATTTTGGCTTCACGGAGAAAACAGACATTAAAGTTCATAAAAAAAATACGTATTTTGTAAAAAATTTTTTTTTATATTTTTAAATTTATAATACTATATAACCTTTAAAAAATGTATGGATCATTATAATTTTTTTGTGATAACTACTATTAATATACTTATTTTATGCTATATACTTTTTTTAAATTGGACAATTTCCCGATTTAAAAAAAAATGAAAGAAGTATATATAAAGTATTAAGCAATAATAATTTGTGTTGATCCATAAATTGTTGAAAATGTTATTGCAATATAAAGTTAAAAACATAAAATCAAAAAATTTAACACAAAAATAGCATGTTTTTAACTACGGCAGCCAATTGTATATAGAAGATAAGTGGTCTAGACAATTTTTTTTTTTTTTAACTATAATAAGTAACATATGCTTTATTTTAACATATGTTTAAAGAACGCAGTATTTCTAGAACATTTTCGAAAATTAAGTTGAAAAAATTGATTTATGTGAAAAAGTTGCTATTTTAAATCCCCCCTGTGATCTGGTAAATAGTCAGAATTTCAAAAAAATTATATTCAATGAAAGGCTAATTCGTAAGGTTTTTATATGTAAAAAAAATTATTTTGATTTGTTCGTTTTTAAAAATGTTATGGCAGTTAAAAAAAAAATACATGGAACGAGGGGAATTTTTTTAATTTTTAAGGGCAAAGCCTTCAACTAGATACGATTTGTGATCTTTTGACGTGTCCTTGAATGAAATCTGGTATTGGGAAGAGCTGAACAAAAATAGCGATATAAAAAAAAACACATCTTATTAAAATTAATTCCTTCTCAGCTTCGCATCGAAGCCAAAAAAACTATAGTTTCTCATTTAATTTTCGGAAGTTATCCTTAAAGTCTATCTTCAGAAATAATTTATTTTTAGAAATATACTTGATATTTACTATGGTTTATAAAAATAAATAAAATCTATAAATTTTTATGAAAAAATTATTATTTAAGGAAAAAGTGTATTATTATCTACAAACGTAATGTTAAGTCTAAAGTACATGCGGTAAAATAGTATTCTGTGAATATTCAAACCACTATAATATAGTTACTTTCTCTTAAATTCTATATTATATAATTTCGAGAAAATATAGTAAAAAATATCGATTAAGAAAGTTCTTACAATTGGTTGGATGATGGATTTTCATTTATTTATAAAAAAAAGTAAATATAAAAGTTTATGAAATGATAAATGGTTGCTACTGGTAAAACTGTTAAAGTGCAATGTAAGCGAAAGAGTAAAAAAATATTAACCGGGTACTAATACAATTTATATGATTATATTTATAAGCCGGGACGGGAATAATAAAAAAGCTATAGATAATGATTACAGTTGAAAGAAAAGAAGGGTAAGGGTAAATGGGTGCACGAAATTTTATGCCTTGTTGTTAAACCGACCAAAGACGGCATTAAACCAAATTATCGGTTTTACATAGAGGTGGTTCAGTCGAACAATAATAATAACGACTCAATTCTAAAAACGCTACCTGGCATTTAAGCTTTTCAAAAATTCATTATTTTAAGCTGATGGTCGTTAAATATTACTACCATTATATATATATATATATATATATATTATACACCATTACATGATTTGCGAGGGTCACTTTTTTCATGTACTGTTTTTAATAATACGTCTTGTTTTGGCGAGCTCATAAAACACAAACATAATAAAATGTAATAATTACTGTATTTAATAATAATAAAATATATATATGTATAAATATAAATCGCATACACAGGTACTTGGAGCAGGCTAACTGAGTTTTAGAATAGTTAATAACATGGTCAAAGCCTTAATAAAGGTAAAAGAATAATTATTTGTTGTATTCAGTTTGAACAGGTTCATTTGAATTAAAAAAAAAACATGGGTTGTTGGTGACGTTTTTACACGCCACCTTTATTAGTCGTTGTTTTATTTGAATTGTTGTCTACTTTGAAAGTTTCTTATAAAATTAGTATAATTTAAGTGTTTAAAATAAATTAAAATAATAATAATAATAATAAAATAGATGTGAAATAAAATAACACGTTCTCAGAGAAAGAAGCTGATGTCGCTGACTTTAAATATAAACTTTCGCTACTAATTTCTGAGAATTGTTGAACAGGAATGACTTATCTAAGAGGAAGAAGAGCTAACATTTTCAGAGGATGAGGTATCCATTCTGTAACGCCTACGAATTTTGTTGCATTTTTTGCCTAAAAAATGTTTTAAAATTAGTGTGTTGATTTTTTTAACTTGTCAAATTTTTAATTAAAAAAAATTACTTACTGCTTTTGCGATGATTGGCTGGGCAATTCTAAAAAAAAAAAAAATGTTCAATTATACAAATGTGATATTAGTAGTTATATATTAGTAAGAAATAAATTAAATTTAAAAGGATAAATAGGTTTCCGTTAAATTTTTCATTTTCAATACAATTTTAAATATTATAAAATAAAATTTTAATTGAATTTGTGTTTATTAAAATGTATTGAATGATTTAATCAATAATTGTATTATTGTTTTATACGATAGCATTAAAAAAATTTAATCATATATGAAATTAATACCAATAAAAAATCTATATTCATAGCTATTACTATTATTGGAAAATAAGCATTACAGTTTTGACTATACATCAAAGAATATAATCTGTTTATTTGAACTACACCGAAACTAATATTAAGAAACTTTCAAGCATATTTCATGATATATTAAATAATTGTGCTGTTATTAGTAAATAGTTTATTTTATTTTGTCGGATAGATCGTTTTAAGATGAGTTAAAATCGGCCTACCTATCTCTGTCAATAATGCACATGGGTTATGTAAGTTTTTCTGTCCCCCATGGCACAATCAATGATTTTTAGAGAGGACGTTAACATGATTAAATGATTACAAAATTAAACAAATAGAGTAATTTTGTACAGAATAGTAACTAAAAAACTATTAAGCTTATTCATTGTTTAGTTATTATTTTAAATAGAACTTAAATTATTTTAGTATACTTAAAGTTTTGTCAAACTTTCAATTACTGTATTGGACTTAAGAGCCGTTAAAATTGTAGATATGAATACTGAACTTATAACAAACAATGAAAAAACAAATATCAAAAGAGACGTCAAATAAATTAATTATTTTATAAAATGCTTTTTCTTCCATAACATTATTTTAGTTATCGTTTGTATTAATATGAAAACAAAGAAGATTAAAGTATGTATACGATTTCACGTTGTCACATTAATAAGTACACGAGTAGAACTTTTAGTGATCCGGAGGAGTTATTACTTAAAATAAGTATGTCGCATTTATTACCTAAAATAGCAAGGCAATTAATAATAAGAACTATCATTTCTAACCATAAAGAGAATCAGAAAAGAAAAATTAAGTTGCAGTTTACTTAATTTAAACCTTAAATGTTTATTTATAAAAATAATTGAATTAAACTTTTATTATCAACATTTTAGTGTAAAATTAACATTCAATTTCATTAAGAATTAAATTTATGACCATTCCGTTTAGGTGAAAATTTTGTTTCGAGAATATGACGAATATTCAATTTATAAAAAGGTAAAGACGTTATTTACTATTATGATGTTTTTATAAAGATTTTTTGGGCTCGAAATAAAATATCGAGCGAAAAGAGCATTAAAAATAACAAATGCCAGCAAAAAAGTGAAGAAATAGCATAGGAAATTACTGCGTAGGATACCAACGTGTCCAATCTACACCAATAGCATATACACCGACTGAGAATCTCACCATTTGATGTATGTAACGAGTTACTGTGCGTACTTAAGGTGTACATTCAATTCACTATAGTACTTAGCATTTTAACTTACCGTTTCGTATTCCAACCACATGCAGTGAACGAATTGCACGTATACGGGATTGCATTTGTTTTCTGTATCATCTTTCGGCCATGGAGCTGAAAAAATAACATATTTCAATCAAAGTATATACGCGAGTTTTGAAATTCTTTCATGTATAAAAAATGCGTGTACCATTTCCGGTGAGAAATGAGTGACGCAAAACCGTGAGAAACGAGTGTACGTACCGGATTATTTCACTTTTATCATTTTGAATAATTTAAGTCGAAAGAAAAGTGTAAAAAATTTAAAGAAAGTTTATTTTGCTATTCCAACAGAACTAGTCGAAAAATTTAAATAAGAAACCTAGTAGTTACCATCGCGAGACAAGTTACAAATGATATTAATAAATTACATTAAAACACCAAGTGGTGTATTGAATTAACAACGAAGTTATAAAATTATTTAGATTTTGGTGCTTACGTATAAACATTTATTTAAACTATGCAATGTATTTGATTAGCAAGCTGATGTTAAAGTTCTAAAGATTATTAAAGCATCAAAGAAAAAATTCTCATGATGCCTATCTTTGTCATAACTTTAGAAGGAAACGAGTCGAAGACATTATTAACTTAATGTCTAAATTATATCAAGTGACTCTAAAATAGTACAAGAAGCAAAATATTTTTGTTAAATTTAGCACAATAATTATAATAGTGTAGTAATAAATTGTGTGATAGGCGACTGTGTACAAACAATTCACTGATTAAAAAAAATTAAATAATCTTGCATAATTTACAAGATATAAAAAATATAACATTTTATACAGTTTATATATATTATCTGTGGCAATAAATCACAGCACTTACACGACAACAACCGTTCCCGCGAGAGTAATTCGCTGAAATTTCTAATAAAATTCAACTGGGATAAAAAATAAAGTTATATTTCAGTTCATACAAAACTTCATAAATTTATGTTTTCATTTGAATGTTTTAACATTAATAACGTAATTTTCATTATTATTTTTTTAATATCCGGCCATATTGATGGTTGACGATTAATAAACTGTAAAACTTCTCATCTGTCAATGTTGTACGAAAGAAAAATAAATTGTTCAATGAGCACTTAAACGTCGGACGTTATATTATTAGCGGTTAAAATGTCTAGAGATCATTTATTTTTATTCCTGTTCCCGTCTTTTCATTTTGATGAGGTTCCGACGGGTTTCGACTTGCAGTTAAACGAATACACTACATTCTTATATTATTGTTTGTGTTGTCTTTCTGAGCTTTTTGTATTGCATAAAAAATGCAAAAGCCACGAAACGTAGAAAAGAATTGATAGTGCATGAGGCACGTTCCATTTTTATACATGCATGAACTTAAAAAACAAATAGTATTTCAAAGCGATACGGAAAAAACTCACTATAGATTTCTTCGAGACATTTGCTCAGTGCTTTTTGTCCGATATTTTTCTGCCAGTCCTCTTTAAACAAATCATTTAAGGCGAATTCAGAGATTGCTGTTTTGTTAAGTGAACCATCATCGTTAAGCTAAAAAAAAATTATAAAATTTCACTTGTTGAAAGTACAACGAATAATATTAATTCGAATTTATTTACCAGTAATTTTTTTTTTCCGATACATTCTCCTAAACACTAAAATAGAAACATAAAAACCTTAGTAAGATAATTAAATTTTTATTTCTGTGTTATTACTCACAAATATTTTCTTTTTGGTGATTTTGACAGCTTCAGATGAGAAAAGATCTGGCTTAGCATCTTGTTTTGCTAAAAAATAAATTTAATTTAAATAGCAATAACTATAATGTAATTCATATAAATTTTCGTACTTCGTTGTTATACATTGTTTTAGTAATTTTAATAATAATAATGATATTAAAAATATTTCATTTAATTTCTTTTAGGTACATTTTTTTCTCGATTTCTTATTAATAAAGTATTTTTTATGTTCATCTCTGGTTGATAATAACTTTCATTTTACTGACCCAATCATTTTATTAATTCGATTATTATCTATTAAATAAACTAGTTAATTATGTACGTTTCCACTTGAATACATGAATTTGACATAAGGTATAAGGGATGAATATAAAAAAATACTTTAGAAATAAATAAATTGAGAATTATAAAATTAATAACATAATTGATAAATAAATATATAATTGAATAATTGATAAATTTAGAAAAACATGTACTTAATAGGAACCACGTGAAAAATTCTGAATGTTACTTTTATTTTTGATGAATTAAGTGAATCGTGATAAATGAATTATAGTGTGTTGTACTGTGTTATTTTTACTTGTCATTTATTATCATAAATATGATTGTGATGAAATTAAAATGTATAATTGATAAACACTTCGCATCCATTACGAACTGATACACAATGTAAGTCATGGTAAATATCTATTGAATTTTGTTGAAAAGAAACTCTAAAAATAAAGTTAAACTATGCTCCTTAGTTATTAGGTTTTCTAACGATGCAATTAAACAAAATAAACAATTTCGGTTGGGTTATTTTTAATGGTACTAATAAAGCATTATATAGTGTCTTTTGTCTTATGATTGACAAGACGGAAAATTTTCGATCTTTGATGGTTACAATGTCACTATATTTTTCAATTAGATGAACTTGTTAGTTTTTTTGTTTTCTAATTTTAAAACTACGTTTTGATCTTTTAATTTCACTAACTATTTAAAAAAAATTATTTTGTTTAAAAATAAGATTTGCAATAATATTTCAATTTAGTTAATGATTTACGGTTAACATATGTGATTTCTGGATTAAAACATTTTTTCGACCTTAAATGTATGTTATGGTATATAGTGTGATAGGAAATATTAGTAATTGGTTCATAAAAGCAACTCAAACTAACCCACCTTACGAGTTCACCTCATAATCTTATTTAAATGTGGTAAAAGTATAACATAAAAATAGTTGTTCGGGTTTTAAATATTATAAAAATGATAGATGATTTTGAACGGTTGCCAAAACGATTGTTTGAATAGTAGTGTCCTGTTAAACAGTCTCGTTGCGCCAAATAAAAATAAACAAGGCAAAGGAAAAAATAAATTATATGCAAATGTGATGGATGGGTCAAAGTTTGGTTTAGGATTGCCTGGGGCCGTTTTTCCGCCGGACTGGCGTGGGTTAAATATAACTATTGGCTTTTCCAAAACATAAAGATAAAAATGATTGTGGACGTTTACACGCAGAGGTGAGTGGGATTGTATACAAGCGGCGGCGACGAGGAAACCAGGCCAGGGAAGATGGTAATTCTTTGGTAAATTGGATACATGAGCACGAATGCTATCGGCAAGATAAAGAATGTGATAAACGTGTTACAAAGGATACACCAGCGGATAGGTGTACACATACACACGGTGTACGGTAGCTGACCTTTCTGTTTCCTTTGAGCAACGTAAATTAATTTTCCTCCCAATCGAGTGGCTGAGATCGGTGCACTTTTTGTGACCAGACAGAATGTGATTTGAGGAATAGACTACAGTAAACAGTATCATATTACTAAGAAGTCAATCCAAAGTTCTTTTTTATCTCAGACAATTTGTCAGCGTGGCATTTACGACCGTTTCAATCATAAAATACTACCGTAAAAATTTGATAAGATATTAAAAACGAACATTTTTTTAGGTTTTTATTCGAAAACGTGTCCGATGAAATATTATTTTCATAGTTTTAGAGTTTGTTGAATTTTTATTTTTTTCGTTGGGTATTCTTCTTTAAATAAATAATTAAAATTATGAAAAATAAGTTTTCTTTAAAAAAATTAGCTGACTTTAATCTCAATATTTTCCCTTTATTATACGTCTTTTTTTGGTTAAAAATTTATTAGAAATTTTTTTTTTTTATATGGTATAATTCGTTCACATAAGTAAACAGTTCATGTTTATGTTTTGTAAACACATGTATATTTTATAAAATAAATGTTATTTATATAATACTCATATATTTTGTAAAAGTTTTACCTGTCTGAGTAGAGTTTATGAATTTTTCTGCAACTTCTTTGTGACATTCGTCAGATATACTTTCGTCCGCTTTGTCAAACTTTTTCAAAGGGTTTTTTGAACCGCAGCATGACTAAAATCAAGAAAACTTATTAAAATTTTATTAATTAATTACAATTTTATTGGTTTTATTTTCCTACATTATATTGTATTATTATACTTTGTGTCAATAACAGAAGAATTTCTGCTTTTTTTTTTGGCTTTTGTCAGTTATATTTGTAATTATATCTCTTATAAAGGATATTTCACGTTCATACCTAAATATTTATCATTTAAATATTTTTAAATGGTATCATACTTGTATATATTCAGAGATACATATTAACCAACAAAATGTTTTATTTTTTAAATCGAATTATTTTCTTGTTTAATTGATTGTTACAACGGTAAAACTTTATATCTTTAGTTAAAGTATCTTTAAAGTTATATGTTTTAAAACAAAATTCAATATATAGTAAATTTTTTTTTGGTTGATACATTATTCTGATATCACACCGACGTTATTTAACTAGCTTATAAAATAGAAAATAATATTATAAAGAAAATGAGAAACAAATTTTAGACCTGTATTTCAGAAGTTATTAATATTTTTATACCTAGGCGGGATGAGGGCGAGGTCGATAAATGTTTAGTAATAAAAATAGCAGCACCCGCCCCTCACCATTATATTGTTTTGGACCATATTGGTCAACCAAAACTAACAAAAACAAAATATACATATATATTAGAAAAATCTTGTACCTAGTGTTAAATATATCACTCTGTACATTTATTGTTAAATTGCGTGTCACTTATTAACCCAAAAACAGGCTAAAGTTAATTATGAGGTATTTATTTATATAGATGAATATCTCATAAATGTTACAGGTATTATTATAAAAGGTCATCAATTAATTTCCCTGACTATAATTTATATATATGGATTTTAACATATGAGGTATTTTAGTAGTGTTAATGTTGTTGTTTTGAAATCTGTTTCGATTTTACCAAAACATATTAGAACAAACTAAAGTTATTTCCATAAGCAATAAGTTGTTTTACTAATTATTAGCATACTTCATAATGTTTGAATTTAAACTAAAAACATTAAGATTAAAGATATACAAACTGAGCAATAGCGCGTGAAAACGATTTGCTACATGATAAATAGTTCATTCGCAGTTGGGTACCGTATACTGATGACTTAACAGATAAAATATAATAGATGTTTCATTTGGTCCAGCTGTAAAAAAGGCTTTACACTAATTGGGTCAAATATTTTTGCATTTGTATGTAATTTGCTTGAATTATTAAGTAGCAAAGGTTTGCTTATATTTGTTATACAAATATAAGCAAAATCTTATATTATTAAAATTAATTTTTACATTATTTGTATGTAATTTTGTGATAATGTGAGATACAAAATAAAGGACTTTATGTAAATTTAGTTTTGTGATAGTATTGATCGTGTTTTGTTTGGTAATATTTTTCATAATTAATGTATCTCGTGTTAGTTAAATTATTACAACAGTAATTACATCCAACAGATTGTAAATTTCAAATTAGGGTAGTAGATGTTTGAGAAGAAATATTGCATTCAAATACAGATATCGTACTAAACTCTCAGAAGTAAGTGGTTTAGCATAATGCGTCTGTTTTTAAAGTATTTGTTATTTTCCTTTCAGTTAAGAAAGTAAAATGATTATACAAGGGAAAAGGTAAATACTTTTTAAAAGGATCACATTTATATGCCCAGAAAAATATATAAACAAAAAATTAAATGATTTTTGTCTTTAATGTCCAAATTACTAATTATTTTTAATTTTTAATCTAACATTATTTAATTATTATTAGTACATTGTAATTATCTTGATTTGATGAAGGTTTAAAGTTTCTTAGAACATTATAAAATATTAAAAAGAAAAAAAATTTCTTATGGTTTTCAAACCTCTACAGTGTTGGTTAATGATTGGATTTTCAAAGAAAGTTTATCATCGACAATTAAAATGTTTGAAGTATTTTCATGAAAAGTTTTGCGATAATCCGTTCAGTTTTCAAAAAATTATTTCAATATAAAGTGAAAAGTAAAAATATCAACATTGACTGTTTTATGATAATTGTTATTTTTTGGAGAATTTTCTTTTATTAAGTGTATTTGGTGGAATTTTTGACGTATTGTTGAACAAAATCGGTTAAGTAATAACAGAATAATTATGCGTAGTGTTATAAAGTAGAAAAACGTCAATAACTTCTTAGATACGTATCAAAGTTAAAAATACTTTATTTTCTAGTTTTAATTGTGACGTTTTAAAAATATTGTACATTGAAAAATATTTGTTATTTCATTTTTAAGTGTTTAAATTATTATTAAAATAAATATTAGAAATTTTCAATAAATAGTTTAATTTTTAATTTTTCAAACCATAAAAACAATTTTCAAGAAAATATATAATTAAAAAATATAATAATTTATAAATAAATTAAATGCAGGCTTACATTAAAAATTTCTTATAAAATAGAATGTTCAAATTGGTTATAAAATTCACTAGTTCAGTTAAACACATTAGTCGAAGTACGACGATTGAAATAATTGCATATAAAAAATAATATAATTTATTTTAATATTTGTTTAACTATTGAGTTACTTTATTAATCATACATTATCCAAATAAAATATGTTTTGTCTCTTAAGTTTAGTTTTAATTAATTTCCTCGTATCAACGATAAATGATTAAAATTTATAATAATTTATTGATAAAAATATACAGTTTTTATAATGTGATATACAAAGATATTCTATCATATATAATAGAAAAACTATAAAATAGTCTCTTAATATGACCTTTATTATAAGTTATAATACGTTTCATTTGGGTAAATTATAAAATTTTTTGTATTTTTGTTATGTGATTTAGTAATAAATTATTCATTCCTCTAATAGTCTGAAATCACTCAACCTATTTTTGAAGAAATAAGGGGTGCAATTAAATAGTTTTAAGTAAGCACAAATCAGATGTTTATTTACATAAAATAGTGTTAAACGATAAAAAATATAAAGTATTTAGGAAAATATTGAAATTAACTTAAATTTTTTTTTTACATCAATATAAAAATGAAAAATGAACATAATCGACCCATTTTGACAGTTTAATCGAAATGTTTAATTAATTTAGACTAAGTTAGTAGTTGACTATTAGTTTATACGCATTCAACCGTCTAAAGTTCAACAATCGACGCCAATTAATTTAATTAACTATTAGCTGTGTTGCTTAATCAACATGTGCTTTATTATCAAACAGTTCATACGCATAGTAAGCACTCGTTAGATTTGTTGATGCATCTCTATCTACAATTAATGATAAACATTGTCTGGATAAATAAGTTTCATGTAAATTCAGTCATTCAGGCAACCGGAAAGCAACAGTGTACACTTGTGTGTTTTACAATGCTTATAATACAGTTTTATTTGATATATAGTTTTTTTTAAAAAGAATTATTATGAAATTGTTTTTTATAATTTTATTCATAAAATGTATTTTTTTTTTATTGTATCAGAATATGAATCATTCAGCATCAGCTGTTATCAAATTTTCGCTCATAAAAAATTAATCAGAACTTCAACAACAACATAATTTTTCAATTGTACTTCACTCAAAAAATACAACCTTGACATCCAAATTAAATAATAAGTTTTGTTGTTGCTTTCTGCTCTATAAAATAAATTAAAGTACTACTACAAGGAAAATCAGTTTTGCCAATTCTGCTACTAAGTTCGGTAGCCCAAATAGGTGCATACAGACAAATTTTAATTGGAAATGACATAATTTATAAGAATTATTATAATAGACTATTGATTGGGTAATATATTTATTTTCTTTAATGTGTAATACTGACAGAGTATTAAATTTTATTTAAATAGTAATTTTTGTATAAGTATACAAAAGAGTTGAATATTTTTAAGAGAAAAAAAATTAAAATAATAAAAGAATAAAAGTTGAATAATATTATGACCATCATTGTTTTTTAGAGGGAAAAAAATAAGACAATGAACTAGCTAAATTTTAGCAATAATAGCTCATTATTATTTTTCAAATCATGTTTGTTAAACTCATGAAAATAGCTATTAAATTATAAAAGGCATATTGTGCACTTCAAAATTTTTCAAATTACTTTATATAACTATATAAAGTACATAATATTGTTGATTTTCCATATCCCAAATCGTTTTTCATAAAAACTCATTAAATGATATATTTATTGGTTAACTTGAACGTTAGAAAATTGAGTTTGTAATTGAGTTTATTTTTCCATGCTCATAAGCTAAAACTGTTTAACTAAAAATATCAATATATTTTTTATTGGCTGACTAACTAGACGGAATAAATAAATCATATTTTTCTGACTTATGACTATATTTATTTTAGCAAGGCAACCTTTAATAATTTTCATAGGCATTTTACTTTTCTTCAAATAAAGCACAATTAAAGAAAGGAAATTTTCGTCTGTACCTTTTTAGAGGCTGTTTTGCATTGAAAATAATCAGTGTTATCCATATCCAACAATTCTTTGACACGTTTGCTCTTTCCAGCTTCACACACGATTCATTAAAAATTTCAATAAAATAATTAATTACTTTATGTATAAGTAACGCATCCACAAAATAATATCTAATAACGCTAAATTTAAATTTAAAGTTTATTTATTATTATCTATAGAAATGCTCGGCTTACCAGATGTCATGACGATTTGTTGCACCAAAATGGCAACAATAAAGCACTTAAGGACTGACGGCATATTGCAATACAATGATTCACGAAATCAAATTTCAATTATAAGTACGAAAATCTACTATTATTTTTGAATTCTGAACTAGATAAATGATAACGCGAAAGCAGATCCGCACATAGACTGATTTAAAAAACCGGTGGACCCATGTTCTTCTGTCGGCCGATCTCCCTCCAAAAACGCCTACGCCATAGCCACTGTCTCATATACACACTCTCTCCGTCAAACAAAATTTCTTTCTCTTTTTTGCCTTAAGCACTCTCTCCTCATTGCCGTTGACGATCTTGACCCGGTGCACACGGCCGGATCTTGGTCGGTCGTTGACTTAAGCCGGTACAGGTCACCCTCTTTTGTGTCCATGTACAGGGTTAACGGTACACCGGTCGATCAATCGCCGTTATTGACAAAATTGTATCGAATACAATAATTTTTTTAAAATTTGTCCGTATAATCTGTTTGTGTTCAATATACAGGTTACTAAGTCGACATGAAAATAGAATGTCGAGGCAAATATATAAGACTTCATACAGTAATTTCAACTTTCTAGAATATTTCAATTAAACCGTAATCTTTAAATTATAATATTTTTAAACATATTTTTGAAATAATTCAATATCTTAAAAGCGTACGTACATTTTGCATAATTTTATAACAATTAATGATACATTTTTTTTCAAATGGAAAGAAAATTTATTTAAGTAATTGCAAAATTTCTTAAAGGTAGTAAAATTGTTTAATTTTTTAAATTATTAAACGGAATAGAACATAATTATACAATTAAAATGTACGTGTCGTTCTTTTAGCAACAAAATTTGCATAGTCACAAAATTATATTTTGAAGACGTAATTCCCATAAAAAAATTAAATTCATGTGTGAATTTAAAAGTAACATATTACTATAACAATTTTAGCTTGCCATTCTTTAATTTTAATTTTAATTTTTTTTTTTATTTTTTTTTAAAAATTAAATACCTCAATAACTCTATAGTTTGACGCATTGTATAGTTTATGCTAATAAACTATATTTTATTAATTTATTTCATATTTATATTTTATTTGAATGTTTAATTTGGCTATTTTCTAACTTGCTTATAATTTGATAAACAACAAACTTAATTTTTCGTTAATATAACGCCTTTTAATTATGAGTTGATCAAATCGTAAATTAAAAACTGTTTTGAGATTGTTCAAAGAATCTTACATATTTTTTTTTTAGAGAAAGTACATATCATATAATTTTTTATAATAAATTTAAATGTATTAATTTTCAAAAAAAATTGAGAAGATTATAATTTTAAGTTGAATGAAAATCACATTCTGATTTCAATAGTTTTTAGCTTTTCAACTACAGATCATACAAAATGTGTTTTAAATACCCATCAAGGCGTTTTGTGACAGTGATTTTAATGACAGATAGATCTATCAATACTAATCCGAAAAATTGCCTCTATATCATTTTACTGAATCTCTCCAGTACTTTTTTTAATTTTTTTTAAGTTATTATCATCGTAAGTAATATATTTATGTTATTTTTTGAGTGCACAACAAATATTTTTTTAAACAAAAACTACAAATATTTTATAAAATATGATAAAAGTTTAATTACACATCTCTGTAGCACAAGTATATTATCTATATATATGCTGTGAAGTTAATTTCAAAATCTTGATGTCAAACCTAAAAGTCATATTTTAATATAAAAGAAAAGTACTTCATTTGTCTTAGCATAAGTTTTTTTAAAAGTTTATGATTTATTTGGAGTCAAACTAGAATAGTAAATAACTATGAAACTATTCGTTGTTGCTTAGTTCTTGTTGCTGGGGTTTTGTGTAATTGTCAAGTATAATGAGTCAGATACAGTCAATACACTTAATTGAGTTATAGATAATAGTAAATGAAGCCGTTTAATGATTATTTTGTGAATGATAATGTAAATAATACTTATTTTAATAAAAGCTTACTATTTGTTGATATTTCATCAAACCATTACCATGTCCTCGCTGAAAACGTTGATGGAAATTAAGAGTAGTATATAACTATGAAACTAATACAATTGAGTCTTGATAATTTTCTATTGAAAATCAAATAAATTGCTTATATATATATATGAGATTTAATCAATACATTGTGTTATACTTAAACCTAACTTACTTGGAACCTTTAAGATTTCTAGGAGCCAGTTTCAAAGAGATGTTTAAAATAAGAAATCGAGAGATTCAGATTAAATTAGGGTTCCGGTTAAGAATTGGTTCCAAAAGAGTTCTACTTAGGAAAATAGTACCGAATACCAATATTGAAAATGTGTTAAGTGTTGCATCAAGACTGGAAAGTGGCTATTAATAATCTATAAAAGAATATTTCTGTTATCGAGAAAATTCGTTGCAGTACTACCTCTAACTCATGAATATAATATTATCATTATATAATATTTGATAATTTTTTATTTTTTTATATAGAATGTTTAGTAAGTAAGGAAACGAGTTTCTTTTGATCTCATTATTTATAACAATTGATATGTTTCCTTACTCACTGATCAACGAATATAATCTGTGGTTACCCTATAAAACAGTTAATTAATCGTGAGGTATTATGATTTTTACCGTCAAATATTTTGTGATAATGATATAGTTACTATTTTAGCAAAGTAACGCGTAAAACTTAAATGGTAAAATATTTTAAGTATTATTTATTTTATGAACCTTTTAAAGAACCGGTTTTTGATGTTTCGGGTTTTTAAATAATTCTTTAAAACAAATAATTTTTAAATTTTGGTTAGGTGGTTCTCAGTTCTTTATTTTTTCGTCATAAACGGGTTTGAACCGATTCTTAAATGTTCATTTTTGAGCCCTGCTTAAATTGTATATATTTAGTAAATATATGACTTAAAAAATTAGTTTAATATTTTAAAAGAACAAGGGAATAGTATCATTTCGTTATTTAATACTAGTTACATGACGCTAATAGTAATAAATACATTAGTTAAAGGAAATATTACAGTAAATAATGGTTAGATTTCTATTCTATTTGAAATATATTATAATTGTTCATATATTATTTTATTATATATATCACTTATTATAAATTGATTTTGATTGTTAAATTTTGTAACTTCGGTTTAACGAAATAATTAAAATTTAAATTCTTAAATATTTTAAACCAAAGTAATGAAATAATCATATTACGTGTATAATTAATTTGAACTCATTTTTATATTATATAAATAAATAGTATAATGCTTAACGAATATATAACTAAAAACAATTAGACGTATAATTATTTTCATGATATAAATAAATATATGTTTTGGTAAAGTCACATTGTTTATTTATGCATTTTAACAATCTTTTACGGCAATATGTGTTATATCTTTAAGTTTAACTATTAAGTGTATATTTATTTCTCAGTATTTCAAAACATATTATATATTACCTTTTTTAATGCCAGTGAACATTAAAACATTTTCTGGTTAGTTTTTAATACTCATTTTACATAAAAAGTATATACTTATATAATATAGTTTTATTGAAATAAAATGCAAAAACTATTAATACTTATATTTTGGAAAATATTTTACTCAGATAATGAACACCATTGGCTACATTTTGTATGCATCTTTAGATTGTTTGATTACAAAATACTTTCTTAGAATAATAAACGGCTGATACAAAATAAAACTTATCAAATATACATAAATAAAACACTGCAATTTGCTTTTTGTAAATTCATAATTCTACTGCATAGTGTACATTTTTTGAAGTACATAAAGAATATAAATGCAAAGTCAACCTAAAATTTACTGAAACTTTTGCAAAAGTAGTTGCACTTATTTAATTTGTAGACTGTCGTTGATTTTTATTTGTCATACAAATGGTGAAATCAAATATTTAAAAACGGATGTCATTTTGAATTACTTTATATAATAATGCATTTCAGTTTCGTGTTAAATTTATGTTAATAAATAATTAATACATTTTTTAAAAAATTGTTCACGATTTTTATAATTCTAATTGTTTTCTAAGGATTATAAAAAAAAAATGTTTGGGTAGTAAACATTTTTTAGACAGTTGATATAAATCAATAAATCAATAGTACAAATATGAATAAAAATACATAAGGGATATATTAAAATATAATAAAATTAGCTGAAAAAGTGAAAAAGAGAAAAAGCACTTAATTTAAAACAATTTTTCATGAGAAAATGCTCAATAGAAGTATTGCAGTTTTGCAATTTACATTAAACAAAATAGAAAGTTAAAATGAAATATTTAACAGTGTATATTGAACTTCTGACAAAGATAAGATGAATAAATATAAGCAGTTATTTGTTGCGTATTGTACAAACGACCAAGTTAAAATTTATAATATACACAAAGAAGATAATAAAGTGTAATAAAAAGTACCTATGAGCAACCGAGAACTTGTTAAGTTAAAAATTCATAAGTAAAGTAAATTAGAAATCTACTTTTAAAACAAGATATGGAATATCCCTGTAATAAAAAATTGTAAATATAAATTAATTAAGAATGACTACATATAGATATGGAGAATAATAGGCAAGAGTTAAAGTATATTAAGGTACCGTTTAAAGTGAAAGGGTACTTTTATACAATTAACTAGATTAACTATTATTTAGGAAAGATAAGTGAAAATACAAAAGTGATTTACGAATAAGTAGATTTGTAATAAAACAAAACAAATATATTCAGTGTTTAATTACTTTGGAGATAGTTGTTTTATTTAATAGTTGAAGTTCGCAAAACTGTAGATTGATATTTACATTTTTCCACACTTCATTCATTTGAAACAGATGAGTATTTAGTTAACAGGGAAAGTATAACAAAGTGAAATCGTTTTTTATTGTTGTTATATTTTTTCAAATAGAAATACTTATAAATGAATAAACATAACATAAAATATATAAATGAAATCAATTATTATTCTCATCGTTACTCGACCCGAGCGAGAAAAAAAGAAAATAAAGAGGACATCTTTTTTTATTCATTATAAACAGTGACATGCTTGTTTCAGTCATTATTCAACTTCCGTTGCTGTTTATTGCATGGAAAAACACTATACATTTTCATAGATATTATCCTAAATACAAATTATATTATAAGATAATATTAATAAATGTAAA